TTCAAAAAAAAAATTTTTAAGTTTTTAAACTTGTAGTTAAAACTTCTTTCACTAAGGATTGAAAGAAACCCACCCAATGCTGTAAAACCTGGAGATCCAAAGGTTCCTAATAGCTGAAAAGCAATTAATAAGCAATTTCTGAAAATGATTAGAAAAGGAAGTGTGCGAATTTACTGTCCTTTCAAAGGTGCCAACCGCAGTTTCAGCAAGATGGTTAGGGTTCCCTCACCTCCCAGAGCTCTAAACCCACTGGAGATTGCTATCTTGTGGTGTCCTAGTGAGGAGCAGATCTCTGGAGCACTTGTGGGTGATCTCATGTCCTCTTCTTGTCCGGAGTGGAATTATCAAAGAGCCAGTCCACTCACTGTTCTTCATTCTGCCATGGTCATTGGCTCCACTTTTCAGAGCCATCTTCAGTCCTCCATTTCTTCCTCTGAAAGCCCCGGTTCTCATGGTTTTTCCAAAGGACTTTCTTAGCAAGGGTCAGTGCCTTCTCAGCTTGTTCAAAGGGAGAATGGGCTGCAGAGAAGCAGGGTAGGAAATATTATGCATTAGTCAGGTTGGGACCCATTGAGTATTACAGGCATCTTAACCCTTGCCCAGACTAAAGTATATAAGATACTACTCAGGCTGATAATGGTGGTATAGGTAGATCATCCCCCAAATATTTGCTTTTGATTCTGCTACAAGGGCATGTGGAGACATTGGTGTAGTAAGGGCAATAAGTTCTCATTCTTTTCTTCCATGCAATCTCTTCTGTTTATGTTGAATTGCTTTGCCATTTTAAACCTGTTCCAACAATCTGGAGCAAACGTAGCTACTCATTCCTAATTCTAGGCCATTTATGAACAAGTTTAAAAGCGTTGGAGCAATTATTAACTTCACTGTTAATATCCCTCTTTTATTAAGTTATTCACTTTATATCTATTCCCTGCCTGTATTCGTATTATGCATAGTAAACCATGATTTGCTTATCAAATAAGACACAATTGGATGAGTTTAGACAAGATGCTAATCCAGAACCGAACAAACATTAAGGATTAGTGTACTGTGTAAACCAGATATTTATTTTAGAAACAAAGCTAGACAAATGCATAATTTATGGGGAATAAACAGGAAGAATTAGAAGTCTTAAAGCAGTAAGGCTAGTAGACATTACTGAAACCTGGTAGAACAAAATGTCTGAGTGGACTATAAGGACTGAATGGTGTAACTTATTCAAGAATAGATTAGACTAAAGAAGAAAAATGTCTTTACATGTGTAGAGATCCAGAAATTTGAGCATGAGTATTTGGATAAGAATACTGGGAAGGGGAAGGGGGATGATATTATTGTGGGGTTGTGCTATGGACCACCAAGCCAGAGATAAGATCTGTAAAATGCTCCCCTGGACCAAATTACAGAACTTGCAAGGAGAAAAAAACATAGTAATAATGGTAAATTTTAGCTACCAGACATCTGTTGGGAAACAAACTCAGCCAGGACTATATGGTCCTCAAAATTTCTCAGTGCTCTTGCTGATTCTTTCTTTTTCTAGAAGATTGAAGAGGACACAATGGGATCAGCTTTCCTAGATCTGATTCCAGTCAATAGGGAAGAGTTGATTGAAGAGATTGAATCTAATGAGTTTGTGTCATTGGCTCCACATCAAGCTGGAAGGAGGTATAGAATGGCATATGGCAGGGCTCCATTCTTGGCCCTGGTACTGCTCATAATTATAAATGACATGGGTAAGAGGTTAGAAAATAAGATTATCAAATTGCAGACAACCCAAAATTGGGGGCCGGGGTTAGCAAACACCTTAGAGGTTAGTATCAAACTTCAGGAAAATCTTGACTAACTTATATTAATGAGCAGAAACCAGCAAGATTGATTTCAACAGGAACAAATCAAAGTCCTTCATTTGGGTAGGGGGGGAAAAAATCAAAGGATGGGAGAGTTCATGCTAGACAGCAGGACATGCAAAAAGATCTGGATGTCTTGGTGGATAACAAGCTGAACATGGGCCAAAAGTGAGATGCAATTGCAAGAACAACAATAAATGCAATCCTAGGCTACATCAATAGAAGTAATCAAGAGAAGTCATTTTTTCTCTCTATTATGTGTTGGCCCAATTGTATTCAGAATGTTGCACCCAGGTCTACAGACCGCATTTTAGAAAGGTTATTGACAAACTAGGATGTGTACAGAGGAAACAATTAGGATGACAAGGAGGCCAAAAGAAAAAACTTGAAAGGAACAATTAGAAGTATTGGGTATGTTGTGGAGAACAGAAGACTGTGGGAAAACTTGAAAGCTATCTTCATGTATCTGAAGAATTGTTGTGTAGTGGACAGAGCAGGATTGTTCAGAGTTGTTCCAGAAGACAGGACAAGAAACAATACAAATACAAGGAAGTAAACTTTGGTTGCACGCCAGAAAAAAATCATGATGATAAGAGCTGTACAACAATGGAACAGACTGCCTTGGGAGGTGGTGGGCTCTCTTTCTCTAGAAGTATTTAAACAGAGGCTGGATGGCCATCTGTTGGGAATTCTGTACTAATTGAGTCCTGCCCTGGGAAGGGCAGTGGACAAGAAGATTTCCAACATGTTTCCAAACCTTCCATTCTATGATTCAATCTCCTGCCAGTCCAGAATCATGACATTCTGTATGTGTTATACCTCTATTTTGCTTTGACTGTGCAAGGCAATTGAAGAGTACAGAAATGATGTCCTATTCACTGGATGTTAACTAACTGAGTCAAATTGCTGTGTCAAGTTTTGAGTGCAACGAAGCCTTCATTTTAATTTTCATTCATGTGGTGAGGAGCTGTAGACCTCTCTGCTGCTCTTGTATCTCCACCTCTTTTTCCTTGAGGACTATAGCCATTTAACCATGTTAGCCCTTGGCTTTGGATTTGAATGATGTGCCAGATTATGGTGAAGATAAGTTAGCCTACCACAAGCCATGATTATAAATCATAGCATTGGCATAGCATATCATCCACATCAAATCTATGGCCGAGTTTTCTTAAACACATTTATTTATTTATTTATTTACTTACTTACTTACTTACTTACTTACTTACTTACTTATTTATTTATATTTAAAATTTGTCACTGCCTATCTCACTGCAGAGCAACTCTGGGTGGTTGAATTGGGAGCTAAATTAAGATTGTGTATGAGCTCATTATTCAAGACAAAACATTTCCAAATATTAAGCCTAACTTTAGAGATGATGAGTACCTTCCAGATGAGTTTAGAAAATTGAAACAAGTATGTGGCTATGTTTAGTTTCCATATTTAAAAACAAAAAACCTAGTACAGCAGGCATATTTACTTTTCTTAGCAGCTCCTTCAGTAAGCTGTCTCCAGCAAGTTGACTTTTATTTTTGGCTCTCTTGTGATAATAACAGATGGCTAAAAGAATATAAAAGCATTACGTAGCTACCACTTTGGAAAATAAGAGAGGGTCAATAAAACAGCCTCTGTTCAAATGCACAGATAGGATCCAGTCAAGAAACAGGGAACAGCAAATCAGTGTCACTGATAAACACTTTAGTAGGTTGAAATACAACCTTTACATTAAAAAAATAATTAAATACCCAAGTGATCAAAATGAAAACTGTCTGGTCCAAGATATAGAGAGGATTGAAGAAAATAATGCAAAGAAACCACATGATTTTCATATGAACATGAAATTGGAAAAGTAGGATGTTAAAGCCTTTGCTTTCAGTCATTAAGTTCCATAAAGCTACAAGTATTGAGGGAAACCCAGAAAACTAAGTAAAAAATGCAGAAGAAAAGACACATTAACTTTTCTAAAATGGTCCCCCCTTTCAGTTATTTAAGTTATTAATGTAAAGCTATTAATATGTATGGAAAAGTTTAGGTTCCCTTGACAAAAGAAGCTAAGGCAGCGCCAGAGAAGCCCTGTCATGGCTTTAGAGGCTGTGTGAAAGAGATGGCAGGCACAGGCGGATTTACAAAATGATTCACTGGATTTTCTGCATCTCCCTTCAGGTTTCTATAAATGCCATAATGGTTTCTATATGTTCTCAAAACATTTGCAGTTCCTGAAAGCATTCTGAAATACTTAAGGAATGTATCTTGGAGCAGCACATGGCAACAGAAGTAACTTATAGTATGGCCCAAAGAAATGTTTCTGATTTACCTTAGAATATCAGTGTCAACCCTCACCCCTGTACATGGTTTACATGTGATATCGTATGGGAAATCTTATTCTTAAATTTCATACGGCATAGACCTGGGTCCCTTTGGTGCCCGTAAACTGGTAAATCATGGGTTTAAATATGCTTTATCCTGAAATGGAATTCAGCTGGAAAACTATGTTAAATAATGAATCTATACAGTGGCTGATTTACAAACAAGTGATGTGGTTTTGTCTTTTGTGGGCTTAGTGTGTATTACAAACTCATCCAGTGCTGAGGATGCCCTAAACCATAGCCCAGTTTGTCTGACCTTACTTTAAGTGGGTGTATGGACCTAGATGCTGTTGTAAACCATGAGTTATGGCTTAGCATATTGGGTACCAATTATTATTTATTCAGGTTCAACCAAACGTAGCTTAGGGTACCAATAGAAGGGAATATATGTGTAGCTCAGGGCTGAACTGTGGAGTCCTCGGGGTCCTCTGAGCTTGGTGGTTTTCTTGCAGATGTTTCATTACCCGACTAGGTAACATCTTCAGTGCTAAAATGGGATGGGGTTTGATCTCTGTTTATATACAGTAGCTTGCCCTGTCAGTGTTGGTGGGGGTGTTGTTTTTTCTTGGCAGTTTTTTCTTGCTGTTTGCTGCTTTTTTGTCTGAGTTGTAATTCCCTGTCAGTGTTGGTGGGGGTGTTGTTTTTTCTTGGCAGTTTTTTCTTGCTGTTTGCTGCTTTTTTGTCTGAGTTGTAATTCCCTGTCAGTGTTGGTGGGGGTGTTGTTTTTTCTTGGCAGTTTTTTCTTGCTGTTTGCTGCTTTTTTGTCTGAGTTGTAATTCAGTGCTAGAAGGGAGCGGGGTTTGCTCTCTGTTTATATACAGTAGCTTGCCCTGTCAGTGTTGGTGGGGGTGTTGTTTTTTCTTGGTAGTTCCTAGATTAGGCTGCAGTTTACTGCTTGATTGTTTGTCTGAGTTGATCAATCAAGGAAGTTGAATTAAGGAACTACCAACTCACAGCAAACCCCACTCCCTTCTAGCACTGAAGATGTTACCTAGTCGGCTAATGAAACGTCTGCGAGAAAACAACCAAGCTCAGAGAACCCCGAGGACTCTATAGCTTAGCGTGTGTAAACCTAACCACTATACTGCATTTGGCAACTTTGTGATTCCAAGCACTTCAGAATTTTTTCTAATTAGAAGTGGTCTGGGAATGCTTTTAATAAATAAATAGTACAAAAACTATAATTTGAAAAATCCTGGGTAAGTATTATGTGTGAACCAGGCCAGCGTTTTATTGATTCTGTAACTTAGGTTTTGACAGGTACACTGGAATAAATTTTGGAATATTTCCTTTGTGCTAGTCACACTGGATCATGATCCCATGAATCATGATGTTTATGAGGAAGGCAAGGTGGAATAACTGTCCCCTTGTGCAAATGATGCCAGTGATATAATTTGTAAGTACATAATCAACATCATTTGTGTGATGACATAATGATGTGTGACATCACTGTGATCTCTAATAGACGCCTATGCTGGTAAGGAGTTGATTTCAAGTATTCAACTAAAATTGCAGATGATCATAATAAAGCACCAGCCCACCAGCCCATATGTGTACAGTAGATCATATTTTGAAAGGCATTCTTAACCATCTTGGAAAATGATGTCTTGGAAAATGAAAAGATGGGCTTAAGAATGCTGTATTCATGGACACACCTGATGCTATGCCATGAAGCAATTTGTACTTTTTTAAGTGTAGCATGATGGCGCCTGGCGCAATATGGTTCATGGGGTCACGAAGAGTCGGACACGACTTAATGACTGAACAACAACATGATGGGAATAGTGTAGTGTGATGGAAACAGGAGTCCATGTGTGGGAGAAAACCGCTATCTCTATGGAATGGCTAATGTTTGTGGGAACGCTAGTTGTGCCTTCTGCTCCTGTGCTCCTTCCCCAGTGCAGGCTGGGCCAACAGTTGGACACCTTTGGGCATTTGGGGGCCTTTGGGAGGCAAAAGGAGTGCCCATTTTTGGAATGCAGTTCTTGACATGCCATGCACACCTGGTGCAGCCCTCAGTTTGTCAACCCCTTACCTATTGGCTTAAAATTGTAGATGCTTTTTATTGTATGGCCATATATACACTTACCTTAGTTTTCGGTTTTGTTTTCTTTAGAAGGCAAACCCAAAAGAGGCGTGCAATACCCATCAACTCTTACCTATTCATCTTCTGAAAGCACAGTCACTAAAGGCAAGTGATGGATTTTCTGCTAGAGGGTGTATTATTGTGTTTCCTCACATATGTATCCATGTTGTAGTGACTTGGATTAAGAACTTGGGCAGGATCAGTTTGTAACCGTATTCACGCTAGCTTATATAAGTATCATATTATAGATGTTTCTTTAATGCTCTTTATTGTATCCTCATTTAACATGGCTTAAGAATGGATTTTTTATTATTGTGCCAATCTGTGCCTGGTAGTGACTAACTGACTGCAGAGTTCATGCCATGAGAAGAAGCAGAATTCAAGGATATACGATAATCTGCCTCCTCATATCTTCTGGCTGTGAACATAGGGTCAGCCTGTTATTCTAACCATCAAAGCCTTGACCCAACTTAACCTACAAAGATACAATGTCTCTTTTCTAGGGATGTGCCTTTAATGATTTCACGCCACCAAGGGTACCTCACATTCCCCTTTTGTGGTTTATCTTTTTTCCTTATCAAATGTAAGGCAATTCTTTTTGCATTTGGGAACTTCTGCTAGTGCATCTGTATGCTCAAACTGTCTTTGATCAACATTCTATATACATCACTTTGTGACTCTTGGTCTTTGCTTGTTGGAGTGCAAGAGATCAGGGATTCACTATACTCTGCTAGCTTTGGAACTAATAAAATGATGGTTTGGATCCTCTCCAGTCGTTGGTGCTTTTTGGGTGAGTTTTCCACCACATTTTTATGTAGAGTTTAATGTGTGATCTGCAGGCACAAACAATCTTCTTCATGGTGATACTGCTGTCATTTATATCTGCAACATAAGTTTTTGAGCTATTTTTGACACATTTGTACAACTTTCCTGGACTGCCATTTTTTCATCCTAGCGAATATTTAAAAAAAAAATGCTTTATTCTGTTTTATTTGTATGACAAGAATTGGATGAAGATCAAGGCTTGTTATAAATCAAAGATGAAGCATTCTAAATCTTGCATTGAAAACTTACATTTTTAACATTACTTTCCTTGAAACTGCAGTGAGGCAGCTTACCCAATAATTGCAGAATTCACTTTTATTAAAAGCAATTTAAAACTCCTAATAATTGCAGTAGGAAAATGTGCCCCTTCTGACATTATTACTATTATTATTATTATTATTATTATTATTATTATTATTATTATTATTTTGTTCTGATCCTTCTTTCAGTCTGCCAGACAATGAACTACGGCTTCTTTCACATAAACATGCACTGAATGACTACACCTTTGTGAAACTGCAGGATTCTATTTTTAATTAGTACGTGCTGCTAGATCAGAAAATGATTTTATCATTGCTCTGTGAATTTCAGTTCACTTCAAACTGGCTGTCCTTTTACAATACTGTAGAACAGTGCTACCTCATTTCTAATTCCACTTTGGCCAGAGGCTGACATGTAATTATTTCAATATCATAACTTACTTTTAAATGAAGGGTTTTGGTATTAAATAAAAGATAAATTTCCAGTCCTGAAAATGTTTCTTAAAAGAAATAACTACATTCTAGTCAGAGGTATCTGGTCTTTTGACTAACCCAGATACATTTGCTTGGATCCAGATGACCTTTTATAGTACAAGGGGATCCCCACAAAGCTGCCTCATCAGATTCCTCAAACAACAAGGGAGGAGGAGGAGGAGGAGAACAACGATGACGACGACTAAAGCTCTGCCACACAGAGAAAAGAGCTAGACTGGCCAAAAGCCAGTCTTGAGAGACGAGGAACGTTTATATTTCAAGGAAGTTGTCAGAGAACTTTGGGGGGAGGGTTGCCCAAAAAGTCAAGACAAGGGCTTCAATTGTGCAGTTGTGGCTGGCACCTTTGACTTTTGGACCATACCACTTCAGAAATATATAAAGCTACTTTCATTACATTATACTGTTTTATTTATAAATGACGTTTATTATATGTATGATTATATATATAAATGGCTACAAATGTATATGGCCACCCACTGATTGAAAAGAACTCTGGGCAGCAGACAAGAATAAAAACACAATACAATGTCCAAAAAGCCATTAAAATGAAAAAGTCACCACTGAGGCCCCAACAAGACTGCACACATACACACTTACACACATATAATCAGATCATTTATTTATTATTTTGTTTTTCCTAAAAAGGGCATTCCTTGTGCAAAATACTATGAACGCACAAACAGTTTGTGGCAGATGAAGAAACTGGTTCTGACCCATCACTGCTGGATTGCTGAGCACAAAATCTTTTTCATGAGTTTGGCAGTGCTTATGAAGGGACTGCTGACCCTCTCTTAGTTCTGGCTATTTCTATGTAGATCACATTGCATCTCCCCCTACCCCAGCCATCCCCAACCTACAGCTGAAATCCAACCTAAATGTGTCAGCCAGCACACCTGGAGGGCAAAGCTGTTTAGGAAAGTGCTTGTTCAGTGAGATGCTATATTTCAACATTAATATAGGATATTCGTTACGGAAAGGATATCAGACAACTGCTGCTCCATTACCAGCCACACACGGTGCTGCTAACATACTCAAATCCTTCACCACCACGACAGAATTTGTCCGCACAACTCCAAAGGCAACCACCACTCCAGCCACCATTGCAACAACGACCATCACTAAAGTGACAACTGTTACAGCGGCCAAGCCTCTTGTTGCAGTACACAAGGTCAGGGATCTAGGTGAGTGGAATGGGAGGAGCTTCACAATCTAGCTGTTTAATAACCCGGTTCAGGGGCAATGGGGACAAATGGCTAGATTTGCCTCCTTCTCACCACCATTCTCATATTTCTCTACAAATGCAAAACAGTGGTCTGCTGATGACTCCATGGAAGACTGTTCAGAATCATGCAAGTCTGATTGTGCTGTATCTCCTCCTTCTTATAGGTCAGTGAATTAGGGAAGTGTCTGTCTAAGCCTCTTCCAAACATTATCTCATCGTGGACTTAAAAAATGCTTCAGTCCTACATAATTCTTTTCATTCAGAAATATTCTTAGGTCTCCTTGCGTGCACTGCATGTTGAGACCTCCATGCAGGTTTTCAGTAATATTCAAATCTGGAGACGATGAAGGCCATTCCAAAGCCTTTACCCTTCTTTTATACAAGTACTTCATGGTTGATATAACCTACCTCTTTTCAGCTTCATTGTTTGCTTATTTTGTAAACTTCAGGACACATTGAAATATACTGTTTGATCAGGGGTGCTTTAACTTTCTCCATGCAACTGTACCCCCAGTTCTGGATTAGGATCCCTTGTAATCTTTGTCTTCTCTGGATTCAGCCCCAACTTCTTCATCTATGTCCAGTCCTTCACTGCATTCAGGCAATAATCTTGTCATAGTCTGGGGTCTACTTGTTTCTAGCTAAAAACGCTGTGCCAGGGCTGTAGGTAGTTTGAGTCTAATCCAGGTTTATTACATGTATAGTCATAAGCCAAGTTTGGACAAAAGCAGATACAAAACAATCAAGTTAATTTTCATAGAATTGATTAAAAAAAATTCTCCTTTCTTTTATTTTCTTTTTAAATTCCATTTTAATTTAACTTTTTTTTAATTCCATTGATTCTAGTGAGACAGTAGTAATGAGAAGTATGATATGGCCTTAGGTGTGTCCCATGCAGACCTCTCCTGGCACAAGTACAGCAATGGAGGCTTCCATGAGTGTAGTGGTAGGTCTTCCAGAGGCAGAGTTGTCTTTTCCACAAATCTCTCTCTACTAGCAAAGCAATGCTTCCCTCAGCCTCTTTTCCTGCTTTAAAATGTCAGCCTGATAGAACCGCCTGTTTAATTTTTCATAAATGTAACTTAAAAGTTTTCACTAAGGATGGGCAATGTGTGGCCTTTCAGATGCTAAGATCTTAGCGATCATAACCAGTGGTGAGGAATGATGGGAGCTGAAGTCCACTAACATCTAGAGGGCCATACATTGCCCATTCTTGTTTTAAACTATTTTGAAGAGTTTTTGGAAGAGAAATTAACATTCTTAATTATTTGTTTATATGAATTTGATATGTAGAGAGTTGGTTTCACAAAATAAAATCTAACACATACCTTTGCTCTCAGTTTTTTGCCCGATGAATGTTTCTAAAAGTGTTTTCCTACAGCAGAGCCAGGACATTCTGAGGTGGAACATCTCCCTCTCATGCACTCTGAATGCAGGGCTGAAAAAAGTTCTAACACAGCTTCTTATGGGAGGAGGTAGCTCTTTTCTCCTTTTCTGGAGAACCTGCATGCCTGCTGGCTCTGGCAACCACATGCAACCAGGACTTCTTCAGCCACAACCTTCCGTTTTACCTTTCCAGTTTACTTTCCTTCTTCCTCCCATTTCTCTTATTTAGTTTTAGTTGGGAATTTCAGAGGAATGCCATAGGCACCCAGCTCATTCCCAACAAGGTGCTATCCATGGACTTATCAGAAGACTGCTCCAAGAGCAAGAGCTGAGTGGGGACCTCCCTTAGCAACACAATGTGTTATCTCCCTTCACCATCTCATTCCCCATAGGGATCAGCCAGCCCGTCTGTATTGTTGCTAAGAAAATTACATGATTGTGTTCATGAAGTCACCAAGAAGTGACAAATATAAACTGAAACATCTAGGCTGGCATTTATACTTTAATTATTCTCCCTCTCCTGCCCCCATCAGCTTGTTTCACACACTAGCATTTTTATGCTTTTGTTCTTGGTAGTAAGAGATTTTTTTGTTCATTCTTAGGCTCTAGCAATGTCCATCCAGTTTACTCATCAGCGGTGGCTGCAGCATCAAGTAAGTATCAGGACAGAGCATGGTTTTTCTGAACCCACAGTCCTCTCAGATGTACCTGAAAACAAATCTCAGTGAAATCAACTGCGTATTTCAAACTGAGCTCATTCAGTAGAGAAGAAAGTACTGAAACTTCAACTGTATCTATAATATGAAAGATCATAGTAAGTACAAAGCAGGATTATTGCAATAGAAGAGCCACTAGACACTTAACTTTGAACTGTCTTCTCAACTTGACTTTTTAGTCACTAACAATGAATAAATCGTGTGATTCTCTTTGAGGCTTTACAGACCTATGACAACAGTCCTTTTTTCTTCCAGTGAAAGCCTCCTTAACCCTGATCAAAATCATAGAAAAAAAGAAAGAAATATGAAGTTGTTACAGATGGCTGTTAACAAATGACTGATAACATATCTGTAAAAGTCTCTTTGAACTATACTACTGTCTTATTAAATTCACCCTAGCTGTATCTAATGCTGGGAAAGATTGAAGGCAAAAGGAGAAGGGGACGGCAGAGGATGAGATGGTTAG